CACACACACACACACACACACACACACACACACACACACACACACACACACACACACACACACACACAGAGTGAACATGACAAACACACACAAACAGACCTAGTCTCTGTATCTGTCTCTATTTTACTGTGTTTTGGGTGAGTGGACATGAAAACCTCTTAAGGCTATTATGTCGCACCGGATGTGGGCAAATTTGCTGCAGCAGGCTGAGGTATACGCCGTGGAGGTCATGTGCACAGGTTATCCTGCTGTTGGTAAGCCGCCATGCTGCGTTGTCCTCGATATTACAGGCCTGCTGCAGGACTATGGCAGTAGGAAATTTTGGAAGAGATCAGGGGATGGAAGGGGGGGTTGTCAGGTGCGTCAGGGGGTGGAAAGGGGGGTAGTCAGGTGCATACGTGGAAGGAGGAATGAGGGGTAGTGGTAACCATATACACGAGGCTCTGATGAGACGAGTTGGAAAGAGACTAGGTAGGGGTACGGCTTCAGCTTCGAAGCTTTCCATGCCAGGCGTTGGGCTGACACCTCTGCTGCTACAACTTAGCTTGTAAATGGCGATTGTGGAGAAGTCGCAGGTTCAAATCCCGTGCTTACCAGGCAAGGCGGGCGCCTGGCCGTGATCTTATCAGGTCGTTTCCTACTGACTGATTTCGGTCCTCGTGATAGTTCTGCTCTCGGGAAATCCTATGACAGAGTGAAAACGGAGTTTAACGGACCCAAAAGGATGATGTCAATTTCTCTCAAATTGTAGACAAATTGTAAATTGTTGGGTTGAAGCCTTCTAGGCTCTAGGCTAGAAGATCGGGAAAAAACAACAACACAAAAATATTTGGAAAACGTTTTTAAGGTTTAACCGTTGAAGTCACAGTAGTCTGTAGCATATATCTCTGTACTGCAACCATTGGTTCTTTTGAATTTCGAAATTTCTTTCAATGAAGTTTAATCTACCCACATACACGATTTATTTATCCATTTTTGGTGGGGGAAGGATTTGGGAGGGAGAGGAGAGGAGAGGAGAGGGGAGGAGAGGGGAGGGGAGGGGAAAGGGGGAGGGCAAAGGGGGAGGGGGAGGGGGGATGTGGAAGGGGCAGTACAGATATTGGTGTATGGTTATGGGATCGGGACACAGAGACGGTATCTTGCTTCAACCGCTCGCGTATACACATCTGGAGGGTCAATAACTGCAATGAATCTGGCTTTTTTTTTGGGGGGGGGGGAGGGTAAATAACTGTCATGTATTCAGCCTCCTTTTTTTTTTATTTTTATTTCAAATTTGGTAATGAATTCGGACGTACTGCGCAGGCAAATCTTGTTTCGTTTATTTTTTTCCATAACATATTTTTTTTTCAGATTTTTTTGATGACTTTTTTTTTTTTTTTTTTTTTTTTTTTACAGCCTTCTAAAATTCACATTCTTTAAAAATCTTTTTTTAATCTCTAATTTAAAGGAGTTGGATTTTTTGTCTCTTGACTTCAGAAATGCCCGTGAGTCAAACGTTTGTGTGCGCAATTTGCAGGGTACAGTGCCTTCTGGAGTGTGTTCTTTACTTGGCATGAACCTGGTCTGACATTAGTGTAAGTTCATGAACCTGGTCTGACATTCGTGTAAGTTCATCCTGCTGTAGGACCTAGTCCATTCAAGGGTGTTCCAGCACACAATTCCGAGTTCCTATGTCTTTGACAGTGACCTCGGTTACTGTTTGTCAATGTCTGATTTTTTTTTATTTTTTTTTTTTCAATGTCTGAATTCAGTTTATGCAAAGTCGACGATAGTTAAAAGAAGAAGAAGAAGAAGAAGAAGAAGTAGAAGTAGAAGAAGTAGAAGTAGAAGAAGGAGAAGGAGAAGAAGAAGAAAAGTTGATGATAGTAATTAGATGCAAAAAACTGTTCCTCCTTGTTTTTATCCAAGATATGCTTTTCAGTTATGGAGTGGTTCGAGTCATCGGAAAGAAACAAGATGTTACACGAACAAATCACCGTAAATCCAATTGAAATCAGTGCTGGGCTGGCAACCGGCCGGTTGAGCTACCCCGGTCCAACCGGAGCCGGACCAGACGAGGGGGGGTGAACCGGGAAACCGGTTTTGAAAAAAAAGTGCCCAAATATCTTTTTTTTTTTTTGGGCAGATTCCGACTGCGCTCTTCAAGAGCTGTCCGAATATGCAATAAAATTTTTAAGGTACAACATTATTCAGGCAACTACGGCTTCCTCAGGGAGGGGTCAAGTAAGCAAGTTCACTTATCCGACCCCCCCGTCGCTGGAGCACTTCGTGGAGTATGTCATTTGATATTGATACCCCATGAGCTGAACCAGATATGATGAGAGGAGGTCCTTGCCCGAAATTATAGCTCTTCCAGAGTATATTTCGACAGCAGAAAAGTTATGGTTCCAGCTTCTGCTCGTGGCAGTTTTCTGTTTGTTGGTTCCTACATAAGGTGAGTTGTCAGTCTGGAAGTATCTTGTCTGGCAGTCTGTCCAGATACATGTAGTGGAGCAAGGTCCATTCGAGATAGATAGAGAGAAGAATATGGGCCTCGCTGCACTACTCTCGAAATGTGCAAAACGAGAGTGAATCTTCCGCTAGAATTCGGAAAGATACACCGCCAAGATTTTTGTCTTTTGTGCAACGCCCTATGGACTTCCAGGCTTGCTGGGTCGTAGCCCTGATGTCTTTCACGATGGCTTGTTGTGCCTGCTGCAGTCCACATTGGTGGTCCTTCCTTTCAAAGGAGCACTGGGCTCTCCAGGTGAGCAGGAGGAGATGCAGCCTTGTGTAGGAAAAAAGGTTAGGCTCTCCAAGCGAGCATGAGGAGATGCAGCCTTGTGTAGGAAAAAAGGTTATTTGCAAAGGGGGACCAGTGGGTCAGCAGCTGTCGCTGTTCTCCCAATAACAGGAGCCCAAGATCCCAGGGTATATGGTGGCCACTGAGGGAATGGAAGGCCGCGTCCCACCACTGCCATAGCTGGGTACTATAGGACACGCCAGCAGGCAGTGTTTAAGGGTTGCTCGGGCTGGCTGTCGAGATCTGCCACAGTAGGCACAGATGGGTGACAACTTCCCTTGCTGTTCAAGGTCTGTTCGCGACACAAGCCAGTCGGGGGTGGGGAGGCAGCGATGGAGGATCTGCCATTGCAGAGACCTATGATTCGTGGGCATGGTTTGCTCATATCTGGACCAGGTAAAGGATTCTGAAAGCTTCGTGCCCATCTGCCTGCTATTGTATGGTTGATCTGCTGGTCCCGTCAAGACGCCCTATACCCCCCCTTGACTGTATAATCCCATACATGCATGGGGTAAGGTCCTGGCCATTCCCATTCAGACGGGTCGAATGGGAGCTGAGCCACCGGCGTGGAGCTTTCGTATACATAGAAGCCATTCTCGGGGTCCCCCACCACTCTGACCTGCATGAGACCTCCGCACTCATATGTTGTGTCCAGATCCTCCTTCCTTGTTAACTTTGAAAGTCTGTCTATGGGCGATTGGGGTTCCTATGCTTCCAGTTCACAAGGCCCTTCGTTGTTCTCCCTGGCCTTAACCCTGTAGATGGTCAAGGGGAGGGGCAAATCAGGAAATGTAACTACCCAGTCATCTTGCAAGACAGTGGGTCCTTCCTTGAGTGTGCGCTGCCAAGCGAGGGGGAGAGCCTCTCTTAATAGGTCAGCCTTATCTTCTACGTTCTTTACATACTTAAGCCTCTCTGGCAGCAGTCAGGGGGTTGCCCATTCCCCTCTCGCCGGGTCCCATGCCCTTTTTGGCCCAGATGAGCCAAGGCGAGTTCGTTGTTAGGACAAAGGGGACTCCCGTTTCTTGGAGGGAAGTATCTGGGTTCCAAATTCTTGTTTGCAGATGCGACCATGAAATCGAACGTTTGGAGGCCATCAAGGCTGACTCTAAAATTCGCTTTATGATAGACAAACAGGGCCATGCATTTTAAAAATAACAATTTGTATAGAGTCTAAAACTCAAAAATTGAGTAGTGATTTAGCTAAATACGATGCGGACCCTGTTTTTGCCGATGTGGTTATTAAAGAATGTTTAAACACAAGTATAGTTTATTTGTGTTCAAGTGTGTCTGGAGCATCAAAATGGTGTGATGGAATAATAAATAGTGAAAGTGTCTGATAATAAGGCTATACTCAACATCGCCCACTTCGTGGAGAAAGGGGCCTATATCCAGAAATATCTATCTATCMTAATCGTAAGTTGAGTTGGAGAGCCGTATGATAGGTGACTATCTCGTACGGTTCGGAGAGGACTCGAGTAATCACCAAGGGTGTGAAAGTTTCACTTCGGGTTGTCAAAGAGGGGTTGCCTCCATATATCGTGCCACCTGTTGGGTGACATTTTTTGCCACGGTCCCCGTCGTCACCACAGCTTGATCATGTAGGGCCAGAGCGGATCTAATGTTATATCTATCTTGGCGCCTGCGCAGGGTCAGCAGTCTGCCCATTCTTTGGGGGGTGACGGTATGGTCCAGTAATTGTTGGTCGATCATTGGAACGGGTGTATTTTTTGGTTTGTGTCTGTCCCCGGGCTAGATTTGCTATCTGGAGACGAGCTAAGGGCTCCCAGGGAATGTCATTCCCAATGAGCAGCCTGACGAGGACTTTGAAAATAAGGGCTTCGCTCTGTCTTTCGGGGTCCGAGATCCCCAACCCCCTACTGCTCTGGGTTGTGTGAGCACGTCCCATTTGACTCGACTAATACAACCTTGGGTCTGGGTGCTGTTTTTCCACAGGTATGCTGTAAGCGCTCTCTTTAGCCTGGCATATTGTTGCTTGTTTAGTGGCCATACTGCCAATTTATACCAAATGGCCACTAAGATAGCGCTGCTAGTGCCCGCCCTACCAATGAGGTATGTAGGCCGTCCCATTTTGCCAGTCTATCCACTGCCATATTGGCCAACGTGTCCCCATGGTCCGGTGAGGTGCTGTTAAGATAGACTGCACTGAGTCTCACCCCCAACACCTTTATTGCATCTTCCGTTTTTCTAAGAGTCCCGACTCCTGGAGGAATTTCAACTGCTTTTTTTTTTTCTTTTTTTAACAACAGCCCAGGTTGTTGTAGAGGTTGGATTCTAGACATTCTATCACTTAAGCAGCATTGGCCGTGGGGGGAAGATCTATGGTCCGCTGCACGCTCGATTTGGGTTGAAGTGTTGGTGAGGGCCGGCGGATGAAGGTGATAGAGAGGGCGGGGGAGCGTGCAGAGGGGCGCCCGTACCGAAATGTTCACAGCGCGGCATTAAATGAGAGAGCGCACCCGGGGGGCAGGGCACACGGCGGGTGTTGATGTGGATGAACATGTCGGAGGAGAGCCGTCCGATAGTGGGCAGGCATCCTTTCTGTGACTTTTCTTTTTCGTTTTCCCGCCCGTTGTTGTGTGTCCCTTTTCTTTTGTTTGTTTGTCATTTTGTGTCCCTTTGTTTTTTTCCTGCCCGTCGTTTTGTGTCCCCTTTTCTTTTTGTTTTCCCGCCTGTTGTTTTTTGTGGCAAAAGAAGATAAACCCGCCCTTACCCAGACATGCACTCCCGCAGGCTCACCCGCCCACACACACACACACACATTAATATTTTGAAGTTTGCTGCTAACTGTTGTAGCCGGGGTTTGGACCAACGGACACATTTGAGAAAGCCAACCGCCCGATGAGATAACTGTTGAGGTAGATTGGGTCCCTGTGTGATTTTGGGGATCATTTTTTTTTTTCAAGTGTATCCCGTGTCAGGCAGCTAGCATGTCAGGATGTGTGTGTGTGTCCAAACCCTATCCTTGCAGGGTGTGGAAAACCGGCTGAACGGCAGAAATGGAAAAAGGGGTCGAATTGCCGCCGGGATGCATTTTGCAGGCAAAAGGAATTTTATTATTCATTTGTAATATTTTTCATAGAAAGATGACAACGAAATATATGGACTCTGAAATTTTCATATTTTTTCGTATATTCTTCTTAGCTCT